GGGGGGGGGGGGGGGGAAGACAAATGAACAATGCAATAAGAAACCAGCAATACCTGTAGAAAAATCCGTTAACCCAAAAGTATCAGTATTTACAAATAGATACATAGATACTTTTTCAAGAGAAAATTTTGCTAAGAAAAAACATCAGTTAGATGGTGGTTTCACCAAAATGGAGATTTAACCAAAAGCAGAGGTAATGTGATACTCTGAAGAGATGAATGAATACAAAATAGAGTAGAGTAGATGTTCATATTTAAAGTGAATTTCATTTGCTTTAATTGCTATGAAACATTTGTGCCATAGAATTTTGTAGTAGAACAAAATACTGATTTGCCATTCTTCTCCTTTGTCGTACTTCATTTCGCTTTTTGGAAATAAAATTTCCTGAAGTGCTACTCTGATTGGCAGATATATGTAACTTAGTGAGAAATGATCAGAAAAAACCCTAACCGTATTTTCAGCGTCTGCTAGAATACAGGTCTGTGTATAAGTAGCACTTGCCATAAACTATTAGTTTTTAATTGTATTTTCTGACTTTCATCTTATTGGAATTACCAATACATAATTTAATTGTTTGTTTGCCAAAAATAAACAACTGTTTCTGTCCTGAAATTCTGCCATCTGTAGGACTAGGTTTCAAAGCAAGATATAGTCTGTGTCTTTGTCATCTACCTGTCTCTTGTTATTAGGTAAGTTATTAGACCAAGAAGGTTAAAATTATCTGGTCGGATCAAATATCAATGTATACTCTGTAACTGTCTGCATTTGTTTGAGGCCTGGTATCCTTTTAAATTAACTTGGTGTATTCGTTCTTCTGTGTCCATAAGCGTGGATATGCTTTGATAAACTACTCCTTTTGAGACCTGCAGGGTTTCACCTAGGTGACTGGCTCTTGCATTGTTGATGGGCAAATGGTTGTCTGCCTGCCGTTTTACACCAGAACTCTGACAAGGTAGAGTCTTGCTTTGGTGTCCTTGGAGGAAGGAAAGGACCAATATTCTGATTGAAACCTGTACTTCATCATGTACTCATTTTATTACGTCACTGGGTATGATGAAGGCAGAGCTATGGTCCCTACTTTTCCTTTCATTCTTGCTGGTGCAATGTGGTCATGATTGACCTGCAAAATCAGCTTTTGTACGCAGGAAGTGGTGGTAAATACACTGGTACGTGAATAAGAGTGAATACTTCCAGTTTCTTGTGCTGGAAAGGGGGCGTGAAGGAAGCATGGAGAGGTTGAAATGGTTTGCTGGATGTTTCATAGCTAAGTTCCAGGGCAGAACTGTGCGCAGAGAAGGTTTCCTTAGTCAGCAACCATTGGACTAGCTGCCTTAGTGAGTTATCTATTGCTGAATTTTGTATTTGGCGGAATAGCGTTGTATTTTCTTTGGGTTTTAGTCTTTAGCGTGAGCTTATACGTGGATGGAAAGACATAAGATTTTAGAGTTCTGATTGCCAAGCCTTATCTTAAACACGCAAACATCCTTTAAACCTAGCATTTGCTGAGGCTTTTTTCTGCTTTTCAGTTGATCTATTACTGAAAAACACATCTGCATGTTATTTTGCAAGAGTTCAGTAAGAAGATGTCTGATTAACAATTCTTTGTTCTCCAGCAGGAGTAACTATGCTTACATTCTAGATTTCTATGTAACTTCATTTAGTCTTTTTATCAAAGTCCTGGAAAAATTTCAGCGTTTTCTTGCACACGTGAAAGTTTCTTGTGACTGTGTGCATTGAGGAAATTGCCTGCATCCTTCCATACAAAAAGATGAAGTGTAATACTAGAACACAGTACACTTTTTAGCCGTATAAAAAAAATTCAGCAGGGGCACGTGGGACCACTTACTCTTATCAACCTTCCTATTCAGTCCAAATTTTAAACCTAGGCAAATGATTTTACCATGCACAGGATTTTCCATCGTTACTCACTAGGCCTCTGGCAACTGCTTAATATCCTTAGGTTACTGACCTCTTCCTGTTCTGATTAATGTAAATTTTGCTGTCACTAGTAGAGTGGCTGAGATTTTTCCACATAAACATATAATTTCCAGTCTCTTAAGACAAGACGTGCACCAATCGTGTGGAGAATCTGTGTCTTGACATATGCAAATTGGCATTTTTATTTGCAGAAGGCTTAAATGCTGGAAGATTGGGATACAAAATGTGTTTGGAACTGGAAATGCTTTTCCTGGTGCTCACACAGGAACATGCAGACCTCCACATCTCGAGAGCATTCAGTTTATCAGAATGTACAAAATGCTTTTCAGAGGCAGAATTCTCTTTTGCTGACTCTGCCTTTTCATGTGAAGGCATCTAAAGTTGATAGCATATATTTGGGAAGTTGAACAACATTGTGATTGAAACTGAAATTTGTGGTTCTAAAAACATAAGAGTGATTTAGAACTGGTGTTACGGAGGAGTCATTCCCAATATGTATGTATCTACCACTTGTTAGATCTGAATATAGACTGTATAGATATGTGATAACTTTGAATCTGTAATTAAAGTCAGGCTGTCTAAATATATTTGGAACTACTTGAAATAACTATTGGAAAATGGACACTTTCTGGCTAAATCAAATTTGTAATTGTACTTTCAAATTTCTTTTGATGCATAATTTAATACAGTTTATGTAGAAAATAATTAATCTGCTTTTTAGCTCTTTTTTACTTTATACTTCCCACATGGGAATTTCTACTATTTATTTTGCAGCTTAGGTGGAAGATTATTTTTTGCCATAGAACACTGGTATTTTATTATGCATTGAAATTGATGAGTTGTGGTTACGGGTATACTACAGAATTTGTCATTTTTTTCTTATTATTTTGAACTGGGTTGACTTTGAAGTAATCCTCATAATGAAAGAACACTCAAAAATTCTTTTCATTTACTATGACTGAACTATGCAGCCTACTGGCAACTTTTTGCTTTATTAGCACCAAAATACTAATCTCAGTGTTTAAGTACATGCTACATTCAGCCAAGTCTGGCTAAACTCTTATGGCTTAAAGAACAGCCAAAAGAAAAAATCAAACCCCAAAAGAAAACAAAGACTTCCAACCCCAACCTTCTGACCGGAAGACCTTCAGATTTAACACTGTTACTGTCCAGCCTTTTCAAATGATAGATTCTCTCAGTCTGAGTATCATGTATGGAGATTTCAGGGTTTTTTAAAGTTAGTTTGTAACTACTGTAAACAATAACATTACAGTTCCAAAATAGCGTTCTTCAAATGCTTTAGCTCTCACATTTTAATAAAAAATAATTAAAGAATGAATATGCCAAACTGTGGTGTATTCATGGAAGTTTTACTAACTGTAATAATGAGGATGACATTCAGGAATAAGAGCTAGGTTACCACCTCTAGTTGCACAACTGAATTTTGTGGTCTTTAAGTGCTTCTAATATTGCTTATTGATATGTTTAGCTTCAGTTCTGAACCAGGTGAGATTATATAAGCCTGTCTTGGTCATACTAGGGAATCCTGGACTGAAATAATCAATGCAGAATGCAACTTCAAGACACCAATTGTGGCTAATTGCTTGGTCTCTCTGTACCTGAATATTAATAATGATGTCTGGTTTTTTCCTAGTATCCGGAGAATATATGAGTCACGTCATTCATGTACATCAGGAAAACACATAAGTGTTTGGTTAGTCTAGCTGTCATCGAATCGGTTTCTTGGATTGGTTTTAGTAGTTATCCAATGGATGCTTCTGTCATGTATCAGTTTTTACACTTTTAAATGTTTTTAAACATTACTGATTTTTAAGGCAATTCTTAATTGTGTTTCCTAGGAACTAGCCAGCTGTGGATGGAATAAGAAAGAAAAACATATCCTTGCTCCAAATATTGTTGCCTTTACTAGGAGGTTTAACCAGGTAAATGATTTGATTACTGGGATGAACAAGTACTGTTTGATAGTTGTCTTTGAGTATAAAGTTAAATAGAACTACTCCTATGAATTAAAACTTAATCACATTTTTCTAAATTATTAAGATTTTAAAATGGCAGTTCCTGTTTTCAATTGCTTTGTCCACATTTTTGGTTTGTTCCTCTAGACCATTGGTTCCTGATTATTAGTTCCTATTAATTTTTGCTGATGTGTCATGGTATAACATTAGCAACTCTTTCCTTCTTTTTCTGTGTTTCACATGCTCATTCAGTTATCTTAGTGATGCCTCACTTGTCTACCTAATTCGTATATCCAGTGGTAATGCTTTTGGGTAATTGCAGCTGTACAGATGAGAATTCATGGCATCAGAACTCTTATCTTCCTTTACCCTGTTTTCTCCCTGGAGCATCATGAAAAGTTTACCAATACTTCATCTAAGAAAGTCCTTTTTTGTAAATAAATTCACTTGTATGTGTTTACTTTATAGGTCAGTTTTTGGGTTGTACGAGAAATACTAACAGCACAGACCTTAAAAATAAGAGCAGAAATATTGAGCCATTTTGTGAAAATAGCTAAAGTAAGTGCAAATTTCTTGTACTATCATTCAAAATCTTACTTCCTTTTTGTTTGTTTCTGCACTACTTCTATGAACCATTATTGGATTGCAGAGGGTAATGTTCACTTTTAGCATATCCACTATGTTGTACCACGTGAATAAGGTATGACATCTATTGTTTTTACTTGGTTAAATGAAACTGCTCAGTTCAGTGTCTTGTACCTTCGCCTAACGAATTTAAATGTAGTTTGTCCTGTTGGTGGCCAGCTATGTGTTGTCAACACTGAACATGGTTGTAGACTCTTCTGTTTTTTGTCCTCCCCTATTCAAACTTATCTTTTATATTTTTTTGGTATTGTGAATATTTCCAGTCAGTTTACTTAGCAGTTTTGTGCTTATGCAGAAGAGAATGTGTCTGAATATGTTCCTGCCACAAATGATTAGTCCAAGTACTAGGAGAATGGTCAACTTAGAGGTGCTAGGTTGTTCTTAGAAATGAGTTTGTTTTCTTTTCCCCCTGCAAAAAGGAAAACACTGCCTTCTCTTTTTTTTTTTTTCCCTTTCCTTCTTTTCCTTCAATAAAATCCAGATCTTCCTTAAATGCTCTGGAGCAATGAGTAAATTGATCATTCAAGGATGAACCCAGCCTCTTTTTAAGATTTACAAGGAAGCTACATGACAGCAGTTCTCACTTTTCTATCTTTCTGGAACTGTCTTGTAGGAAACTTTATAAGACAGGTTTATTCTGAAGTATTACGTCTTTTGAGATCAATATGTTCTGAGTAATTGCCAATACAGGATAAATTTAAAGTACGTTGAAGTGAGGAAAATTTGTCCTGTAAAATGGATTACAAAATTAAAAGGCATATTAATTCTGAAACAGTCATCAGCATCTTTGGTTGATGTTTTTGGCTTGATTAAATGTTTCATTTCCAAAATACAGTCATTTTCAAGAGCAACGCATCAAATAATTTTTTTTCCTTTTTTCTGTTCCTGAAGGAACAGCCTTAGAAAATAACAAATTCAAACAAAACACAGTTTGTATTCTCATAACTGAAATGCCTATTGTTTTGAGGGGTATATTTGGAAAATTTTCAACTTTTAAAGTGGTCTTAAGAATTTTGCATATTGACAGTGTTGGATAATGTTGTCTGCAGTCATTGATGAAAACTTTGTATTTTATTATTGAAAAAATTCACATTAATGCAATTTTGAGATTAATTAATTCTGTTTCCCGTTTTGATGTGCTAAAAGTTATTATTCCCTTTTTTCAGAAGCTTCTAGAACTCAATAACCTTCATTCTCTTATGTCTGTGGTGTCAGCACTGCAAAGTGCGCCTATCTTCAGACTGACCAAAACCTGGGCTGTAAGTTATTCTTTGATCGTTATCTTTTCTGTCTCATTTGAATTCAGAGGTTTTCTGAACTCTTCTGAACTGTCAAATTGCATGCTTGATAAGAAGATTCTTCATATTCTTGTTTTTGTGATACCATCATAGCAGAAGTAGTGATCTGTTACATGTTTTGTGAAAGTAGAGATTAAATGGCGTATTTTTAAACAGTCATTTTTCCTGTGAGAGTTTCCTGTTTTCCTGTCTGTTCTAGAAGCCATTGATTATATGCTCAAGACTACTTTAGTTGATAAGTAATCTTAGAAGACCCTTGTATAGAGTCCGTATCAGTATCCCATTATCCAAATCATTGTGTCATTAATACATTGCCTAAAAGGAAAGGAAGAAAAAAGACCTATTACAAATATAGAAACATTAAGTGGTTATTGTACAATGCATTTCAGTTTTCATTTATTTTAGAAATTAAAAGCATTGATAATTCAATTTTCAGAAATTCAGTCTCTTGAAAGCGGAATTTCTCATTTAAATTTACTGTAAGTTTTACTATTTCTTTAAGTGGAATACACAATTATAATGTAGTCCTGCTGTATGTAATCTTTAAATCTACAAAGACTTAGGTAATTCTCATTAAGTTAGTATTCCACCCAATGTGGATCACTTCAGTGTTCAGAACTGATAAATAAAGATGGCTATAATTAACTCTTTTACCTAAGTTTATTATCTCTTTAAAATGCCTGTAACTTTTTTATGGTTTGACTGCTCACACTTAGGCTATAGTCTAATAAAAATGTAAGTGGCTCCTGTTTTGAGCAGCTTCATGAAGTTCGAACTTAAATAGGGAAGTTGCTCATGTGTGAAACAGTGTGTGAATAGTTCATTGCAGGACTTGGACCTAAAGAGGTATAAGACTCTTGGTAGGCACTGTAGTTCAAAAATACAATGCAGTGCAGAGTTAGGGCCTCAAGGAATTCTCAGTGCTGTTTAGAAAGAAAACAGCAAAATGATTCTGAAATCTTTTCACTCTTGCACCTTTTATGTTACTTTTTATTAACAGCTGTTATTTAACTATGATGTGGTTAGCACTGTTCCAGAGTTGCAAAGGGCCTCAGGGCTTTCATTTACTATGGTGTTTTAATGATGACTCCTGTAAAGTCCATCCTGTTCTGAGCAAGACTGAATGAAGCAGTTAGCTTATGCATATCCATTGCAGTATTTTTTATAACAATGGGCAGACTCACAGTTCTCTCAAAACGGAACAGCTAGGCTTATGAGCTCTGTAGTACAAGAACTGGAATTTTACAGAGGAAGAGGTGTATTAAGAAATACGCTATGGAATAGTTGCCTATTGTCAGAATCAAGAAAGTACAAGCCAGGGTACAGTGGCATAATTCTCCACTCATTCTGACTTAGTTGGCTTTCAAAATAATTTTTAAAATATTGCTGGTGTGTCTAAAAACAGCTGAAATGGGGAATGTGTTTTTATAGCTACAGTTGCATATTTTGTATTTACTTTCCAATCTTCTGTCACTTTAGGATCTTTTGCATTGCTAAATATTTTTCTGATTTTCTGTATTAAGTCCAGTAATAGAAAACAGAGATTTAAGTATTATGATGATTTACTTTCCTTATACTTTTTTCCAAAAAGTTTTTTCACGCTTTTAATAAGACACTGTTGAAATAGCACAATTTGCATTTATTTAGAGCATTTTCCATTGATATTTCTACTTTCAAATTCAAAAGGATTTTTGGCAATTCTGATTGAATGATGTGAATGTTGGTGACTGTATAGTAATGTATACTTTTCCTGTAAAACTTTAATATTGCTGAGGTTATTCAAAATTCTGAGGTAGTGGTATGTGGATCCTTGATAAACTATTCAGAAATAATAATTGTATTTGTTCATAGCTTAAGACTTATAGTGAATTGCTTTTTTTTTTCTTTACAGGCAGCATGTTTTCTAACACTGTGCTGGTTTGGGTGATGATGATGAATTTAATCTTAACTTGACTATGCTTGCCTTTACTGTGGCTGATTCAACAAATTATTATTTGTTGTCGTCTTTGTGCGGATTAGCCTTTTAAAATTTTATGTTCTCTTTTTTTTTTTTCCCTGTATAGCTTTTGAATCGCAAAGACAAGACCACCTTTGAGAAGTTAGACTATTTGCTGTCTAAGGAAGATAATTATAAAAGGACACGAGAGTACATCAGAAGCTTAAAAATGGTTCCTACTATTCCATATTTAGGTGAGTGTGACCAATTACCTTATTTATCTGTAGCTCATTTTGACTGACAAGCACTAATGTAGCATGTTGTGCACCTGAAGAACACTACATATAGAAGGTATGGTTCACTTCATATTTAGAAAAATTAGGTCTGGTGGAGATTTTTAAGCTATACACTGTCTAGGATCTCAAACTTGTAGAAGTTTTGTGCATTACTGACATCTGAAATTACAAGTATTTCTTTATTCACTGTTCTTTTGACGTCTTCAGAATTTACAAGAGCATGGGGTTTCAGAAGTGCCTCCAGGTACAGCATGATTTAAGACCTTGTTCCTGTAGCTTACATTTTTGCTGGACTGTGTTTTCAGTCTCTAAACTGTAGGTATTAGTTTATGTCAGTTTCTTGTAAATACTCTGAAAAGAGGTACAAACTGAATAGTCAATTGAGTTGATTAACTTGTCTTTTCAGTATTCCCTTGTATTACTGATGTAGACACACTATGTCATTATTTCCCCAACAGCTCTTTAACTCACAATTCCTGCTCATTACTGAACTGTGCTAGCATTCCTGAGGAACACTGCACAAACCAGGTTCCTGTTAAACAAGGCCATTCAGATACTGGAATGTCTTTCTAGTGATGGGTTTTTAAAAGAAAAGAGTTAATCTAAGAAGTATTTAACCATGTCTTCTGTAAGTGGTATAATAGAAACAGTAAGATAATTTATTGTAATTATTTCTAGTGCCCAAGAAAAGACAAGTACAGTGCTTTTTCTGTAGCGGTCCACGTAGGCAAAGCATGGTCCTGGTAAAGTAATCGTTTTGAACATTCTGTAAATATGGCTTCCAGAAAAAATATATTTAAAAAAAAAAAAATCAAACTAAGTTTGGAATTTCCATCACGGATATTCAGCACAAGTCACTAGTGTTTGACAAAGTTATAAGCAACAGAATACACCATAAAGAGATGTCTTAAACATTTTAAAGTATTGGTATAACCACAAACTCCACTTCTAATGCAACTTTTTTCCTCATCTAACATCGTTCTGCCTTGTGCTTCAGCCACATGAACTCCACAAAATCAAATGTGAAACACACCTTTACCTAAGATACTAGGAATGGCTGTTATTCCTGACATAGGAATTCCAGTTAATGATCTACAATTACAGCCACACATATAAGAAGAAAATTGTAAGTATTCTAGGAGTGATACATAACAGTTCTTAGAGAACCATGTTGTATTCCAGAAAGCTTCTCATCGTTGTGATAATTCTCACTTAGCATGAGCAAACCAGACGTATTCATAGAATTTCAAAAATATATATGAGTAAAACTCTTGACTTTTTGCATAGGCTTTTTAGCACCATGAGCTTCTTTGTAGTCTTGAAGTATTCAGGGACTACAAAAAAAAACCCTTTATGTGGATGTGTAAGCACTCAAAATAATCAGTAGCTTAATGCAATAGGTTTTTTAGAATCTTCATCCCTTTGGCTTTTTTTGCTGCTTATTCTGTTGATTTAGTGCATATACTTCAGAAGAAATCCATGATACCTCATACTGTGTTTATTTTAAATGGTTTGGAGATAGGGTTTTTTTGGGTGTTCTTTTGTTCACCTACTGTCCCCACTCCCCAAGCAAGGGGTAAAGATCCATAAAGGAAAGACCCTTTCCAAATTGTCATTTGCAGACCTGCTTTCATTCTTCACCAAGAGACTGTTAGAGAAGAAAACAGATGCACCAAGCCTTGTTGTCAAATATATTGTCATGGAAAACCTAATTTAGAAGCTGAAAAGGCAGTTAATTAGTTTAGGATGGAAAGGATATGAACAGTTGCTGGGACTATTTTACTTACTGTGTGTGTATTTATGAAGTGGAAGACTCTAAAATTTTCATGCATTTTTGTACTATTTGTATACAACTGTCCTGCCAGTTAGTCTATTAAGCTGTTTTCATCCTTCTTTGAAGGAATGGTTTGATCCTGGTCAAGATTAAAATCATAAAATGCTATATCTTTTCTCCTAATCTTCTCTTAAAGGTGGTTTGCACAGGTCCAAAAAGGCTATGTCTACATGATATACCAGAGCTTACCACCATTCATTTCAAGCATATTCAAAATTGTCATCTGGATGGACTTCTCATATCATGCAACCTCTTTGCATTAAGCTTTTCTGCGTGACAGCTGTTTTGTTAGTGCTTACTACTAAGATGGTTGCTTTTGTATTGGTTTTGTGTTTATGCTGCTTTTTGTCTGTTTTGGCTGAAGAATAGAAGTCTTGGTAGCCTTAATGATCACTGAAAGTAGAATTTTGTTTCTTCCTTGTGGGACTTTCTTGTTAGATGTGCATGAAATATACCTTATTCTTTATCTGCATCTGTAGTGAACTGTAATTATCTGTAATGCATAGGTCTGGAGAGCATTTCTAGATGGAAGTTTAAGGGGAAACAAGGTCCTGTTTTTTCTGATGATCCTTAATGAATTGTTGTAAGGATAGGGACCGTATGTTCTGCATGGATGAGATACATGCCTGGTAAGAATTGTCCCAGGTACCTCCCTGTATTCTTGTACTCCAGCATCAACTGTAGTGCTGCTATGAGCATTATAATAGTCTCTTAATGTAACTCATTTTCTGTTTATGTTGTGCAATTGAGGTACATTGGCAAGCCCTGTAAGGTTCTAACTTTTGGATCCCTGAGGATTCCTGGACCCAGATTAGGTGCTGCTGTGGCCTAGAGGGAAGATTTTTGTAAAACTTTAATGGTAGCTGAGCTAGGTCTTGAGCCCCAGAGTTTATTACACAACATGAACGTGCAGTAGGAGAACTTTAAACAATTTTCATGCAGACAGTTGGAATAATTGCTTAAAATTTGTACTTAGTTTACAAGAAGTATATAAGAATTAAAAAAAAAAAGTATTTGTTTTATAAAGTAAAAATAATAGGGTCTATTTAGTTGCTTTCTTTTAATCTCAGAAACAGTTTTTGGTGATAGTAGCAAGTGTAATATGTGTGAAGACTATATGCTGGATTCTAGAGAAAAAGTTTTTGAAAACTTTGGTGTATGGCCACAACGAAACCAGAAGTCTGAACAGGAGACCATATCTTCATAGGCATATAGGTATTTAACAGCCTTCAGAAAGTATCAGAGAGTAAGACACATGATGTATTTCTGAGGACCTGCCTGAATGTTGCTTTTACTCATACTTTTTCTTCTCTACTGTCCTAAAGCGTTAGATTATCTACTACATTAAGAAGATGTGCAAATCATTTAAAAGTAAGACTTCCAGCAAAGACAAAAAATGATGTTCTGTCTGGTAATAATGTGCAGATTTTGAAAAATCTGTCCAATTTGCATTACCAAACAGAACTTTTAGAAAAATAAAAAACAGGAAAGGGTTTCCATGAACACTGTTTTTGTACACATCTTTTCTTCTCTGATGGAAACGGGTATTTCTCTCAGGTGCTAAATAAATACATGTGTAGCTTAACTTGAAGATGTATTAAGAGAGACCTACAGTTAAAACACTGTCCATAGTCTCCTTTTCTTTTGTGACATATTTGACAAACTGATTTTTTGTCTGTATTTCACCTGGGAATATTCTTGCATGTAGGTTGTCGTTGGTGAGTGTGGTCCAAGTGGTTTTGAGACTTTCTGCATTATCTGGCTTGCTTAGTCTCCACAGGCAGCACCAGACCTTCTCTCCTGTCAGAGTGAGCCATTTGTGACTAAGGTTTATCAGTGGGAAAACTGAGGTTTTGTTTCTGTTAAATCCTTCACTTCGCTACTAAGATGGTAAACAAAGTACTCTAAAAGTAGAAAAATCTTTTCAAAGTTTTTCTTTTATCACAGAAGGTCTGATTCAGATTCAATTTGAATTCAGAAAAAAAATCGGGGTAAAAATCAGAATTCAGAAAAGATTAAAAAAAGCAGATGGCCTCAAGTTTTTGGTTTATTTTGTGACGAAACTACATTATGTATTCATACAATGAAATATTTTCTGGCTTTATTAGTAACTTATGATGATGCTAAGCTGGAGCTAAAAAGGGTAAATGTTTTTAAATCACTGAACCTGGGTAACTAGAGCTCAAGAATTCTGCATAGGCTTCCTTGGCCAGAATTTCTGTCTTTATATTGTTGATCCTCAGTGCCTCAATGGACTTCTCTTCAATGGAGTCATGCACTCTCTCTTTAAACACATGTAAACTGCTTGCATCCTCAGCACCCAACTGGGAAGGATTTCCTCAGCTCGTGTCCAGTATCACATGCCATTGCTTGATTTGAACATGGCATTTTCTGCCTTCACTAGATAAACCCTACCTTGTTCTTTGTGCAGTTTCTTGAGGCTACATCTGACATTGCAGACTTCAGTCATTATCTCTGTTGTCCTAATACTAAATCTTCAGTTACCTCTCTTCCAAAAGGAAGAGTTCTTGGATTGCTTGGCTCATGGCTTAGATAGGTGTACTCTTCACTGGGTAAAAAACTAGCTGGATGGCCGAGCCCAGAGAGTTTTTGTGAACAGAGTTAAGTCCACTTGGCAGCTGGTCACAAAGGGTGTTCCCCAGGGCTCAGTTTTGGGGCCAGTCGTCTTTAATGTCTTTATCAATGATGTGGATGAGGGAATTGAGTGCTCTCTCAGTAAGTTTGCAGATGACACCAAATTGCGTGGGAGTGTTGATCTGCTCAAGGATAGGAAGGCTCTGCAGAAGGATCTGGACAGGCTGGATCGATGGGCCAAGGTCAATTGTATGAGGTATTAACAAGGCCACATGCCGGGTCCTTGCACTTCAGTATCAACAACCCCATGCAATGCTGTTTCCCTGTGCCTGGGGAAGAGTGGCTGGAGAGCTGCCCAGCGGAAAAGGTCCTGGGGGGGGTGCTGGTTGACAGCCAACTGAACATGAGCCAGCATTATGGCCAGGTGGCCAAGATGAGCAACAGCATCCTGGCCTGTATCAGAAATAGTGTGGCCAGCAGCAGTAGGGCAGTGATTGTGCCCCCGTACTCGGCACTGGTGAGGCCACACCTTGAATAGTGTGTTCAGTTTTTGGTCCCTCGCTACAAGAAGGACATTGAGTTGCTGGAGTGTGTCCAGAGAAGGGCAATGAACATGATGAGGGGTCTGGAGAACAAGTCTTAGGAGGAGCGGCTGAGGGAACTGGGATTGTTTAGTGTGGAGGAGGCTGAGGGGAGACCTTATCGCTCTCTACAACTACCTGAAAGGGGGTTGTAGTGAGGTGGGTGTTGGTCTCTTTTCCCATGTAACTAGCAATAGGACAAGAGAAAATGGCCTCAAGTTGCATCATGAGAGGATTAGACTGGGTATTAGGAAAAATTTCTTTACTGAGTTGTCAAGCATTGGAACAGGCTGCCCGGGGAAGTGGTGGAGTCACCATCACTGGAGGTGTTCAAAAAACATGTGGATGTGGCACTTCGGGACATGGTTTAGTGGGCATGGTGGTGTTGGGTTGCAGGTTAGACTTGATGATCTTAAAGGTCTTTTCCAACCTTAATGATTCTATGATTCTACTTGATCATGCCTTGTACAGATGCCACTTGGCATCCTTGAGAACCTTCTGTGTCGGCATTTCAGTTCTGTGTCTCTTTTTTTAGGGGAAGAGTGTGCACATGGACTGCATACAAAATTCAAGATAAAAGTGCATGTTAGATTTAGACGGTGACTTCAGAAAGTTTTTTGAGTTCTGCTGAATTCCTAACATTCTGTTAGCTCAAAGTTTAGTAGCAATCAAAAAAGCAAGTTGTTTTCAGGAACTGTTTATTGTAATCCCAAGATCTTGCTGTTATTGGCAATTATTTGCTCTTTTTGTTTTATATGGAAAATCAGGACTTCTTTTTTCCCTGTATGTATCGCTGTCTCTAGATTTTTCATCTTCTGTCTTACTGTCCTAGCAGTCCGTCTCATAAATCCTTCTCCAGTTCTTCTCAGACAGCCCTTCTCTTTTCTCCCCTCAATTAGTTAATATCATCAGCAGATATTTTTCCATTGTTTACTCCCTTTTTCAGGTCACTTACGAATATGCTGAACAGCATGAGTCTCAGCACAAATTCCTATGGATAACAGTCAGCACTTCTTATGTAAATATTTCTTATTAAATAAATTTGACAGCCATACCTAAAAAAATGTGTTGAAAAATTGGTATGAGTTATTGAAACTTCTTTGAAAATAATTTCAGGTTTGAAGGAATGCTGAGCTTAGCAAAAGAGAATATTCAAATGGGACTTGTTTCAGTGAATAAATATCTTCTCAGGGGAGACAATATTAGGTATGTAAAATCTTCTTTCATCTGTCCGCTTAACAGAACAAGTAGACTAATAGATCTATGTTAGGAGTAAATAGTGAACACTGAGAGTGATGAAGCCTCTGAAGATTTGCAGAGTTCATGGGGCTCCTGTTTCATGCTGTAAAGACTATTGTCTCTCACTGCAAGACAGTTAGTTAGTTATGGGATATCAGTTCTCATTCCATCTGGGGCAGTCTAAGATTATGTTTGAGATGCGCTGGAGAATGTGCTGGGGAGTAAACAACTGCTTAAGTTGACCAAATATTCTGGATTATAGAATTGGCTCAGAGCCTTGTGTAAGAAACGCTTTAGTACTATCCAGTTATTGGAATATCACTCCAAGTTTTAATTAAATTTAAAATTAAAATATTTCTGAAATGAACAAAAATGTTACAAGCCTAATAAAAGACATAGGTAATGAAAGTGAAGGGAAAAAATCTGCATGTTACTGAGTTACAGGGTTGAATCTGAAAATCCTGATAGTGTCTAGCCCAACCTTTTTTAGACTTCCTAGCCTCCTGCATGTGTTGTACCTCAGGTTTCGTACATGACAGAGGGCCTCTCCCTGGTGATTGCAGAGACTAAGCAGTGTTGCTGCTTTGCCTGATTCCTAAGAGATGCAGTTGAACCTTTGTGTAACCAGATGAATACAGGAGACAACAACTGGTGTGTTTACAACCTCAAGCTATAACACGAGAGATTAATATATTCCTTACTATGTTTAAAACTGCTATGTTAAAACATCCAACAAGTTGTTTTCTTTTCAGACCGATCTTCCAAGTTTAAAAAAAAGAAATAGAAGAGAGAGAGAAAGGAAGAAAATCATGAGATTGGCAATGCTGTGGTCTGGACTGTTACAAGCATTTAGCCGCAGTGTGATCCAAGAAAAAATAGCAGTCAGATTGTTTTGAAAATTAATGGGTGCAGTGACTAGCTACAGCTTTTGGCAGTCTTCACTGTAGGTGATCTTAGGTTGTATCTGTATGTTACAGAAAAGACAGATGGGTATGTTCTGTTAAAATGTGCACATTTCACTGAGTTGTGATGTTTTGTTTTGTTGTTTTTTTCCTTGGAATGTAACAATGGGGATAATGCTGACAACTTTGATAATAGAACAGTTTCAGGGAAGAACTCTTATGATATATGTGTATAAGAGAATAGCAAGTTGTCTGCTGAAGTAACTTAAATCTGTGAGATAGCCTTTTGTCTAAATGCTATAGATGGAGCCCCACTATTTAGTTCCTGATACACAGGTAATGTATTAGTTAACAGCATTTTCTTTACTGCTCTGAAAAAGGTAGAGGTATTTCAAAAAGTCAAAAGAGCAACCTAAGTTTTTAGGAGGTTTGTAGTTGCAGGACTATTTATACAGTACTTCTTGAAATGAAGGAGAATTGAAGCTGTTAGAACTTTTCTCCATTGTGCTGCAGTTCTCTCCTTGTGTATAAACTTGCCTGATATGCTTTTGCATATGATGGGAAAATGTTTTGTATGTGATTTTTACAGTGTAGTGTTGTCAGAGATGTACTTCTGGGAAGTGATGAAACAAGAATGTTACTGAAAAAATTGTAAATAATTAGAGAAACGGGGAAAAAACTAAGACCTTTCACAGTTTATAGTAGTGAAATGGTAGATCTAGTGCAAACTGAGTTCAGTTGTGTGAATTTGAAAAAAAAAAAAATAAGTATAGTGAAATTTTGCAGATCTGTGATTCTGCCAGTGTACTTGCCAATAACTTTCTTCACTGTATAAGTTCCAAATTCCATATGTTTAATTGTTTTTGATGTGTCAGCCTCTGGGTTTGTTTAAGATTATTTTATGCAAATTTTATGCAAAAAAAGCTACATTAAACATTGGGATGTGGGGGCTTTGTGTGGGGTTTTTGTTTGGTTTTTGTTTGTTTTTTTTGTAGAGAGCTGATCTGTCAAAGCCTTAGCTAAATTATGAAATAATTATTGTTGTCCTACTTTGATGGTCCGCACTGAGCTAAGCAGAGTTCCAGTTGGTAAATGCCTTTCTTGAATAGAATCTGTGTAGTAACATAGACAGCTTTTTCCAATGCCTTTAATTTCAGTAAATGTGTACACTTAAAACGTTGCCCTACAACACTTCTGTGAAGTATGTTGTTATGATGTAAATATGAAGTATGTTATTATGATGTAAATATGATAGGAATATGATGTAAATATGATAGGAATATGATGTAAATATGATAGGAAATGAATTGTTAGGTACAATTGGATGTATATTCTTGTCCATTTGGATCTTTTCTGCATCCTTTCCTCTCCCTCCTTCCCACCCTCAGTTGGTATGAATACGTCAGGTATCCTCAGTTCTTCTTTGTCAGCCAGCTGAGCCACAGTTCATGTTGTGAACGTCACTCTTGGCCAATGATAGAACAGTACAATATGCACAATGGATACCTGAGGTTCTCTGTATCCCTCCACTAAGCCAAGCATGGAGTAGCACTTGGAACAGTATCTTGAAGTTGCTATCTTCATAAAGCTTCTGATGGTCCTTTTCATGCAACCTGCGAGTGCAGGGAGGTAATGTTCATAGTGGGCATGTTTTAAGAGCGGGCAAACGCTCCAGAGTAGTAGCACGAAGTTCTTCCAAACTAATATAAATATGGCTAATGCATCGTTTGTTTTTCTGGCCCTGTATCTTAGTCCATGGGTTATGTGTATGCTCTACCTGGATATGCTGTTGGAAGCATGTTACAGAAGGAGCGCAAGAAGAGGATGGATTTTGAACGTGACCTAAGGATATTGTTATGCTAAAGTATTTTTGCAAAAGTTTGATTATCTAGCTACAGACATAGAAGAAGCTGAATGTGCATACACACCATGCCCATTGAAGAAGCCATAAGTGACTCTTCTAAGGTAGGCATCAGTCTACCAGTGTGTGATTACTTCTGACAAAATTAGTGGTTAGTTGTAGATATCAGCAAGAATTTTACTGCCTTAATGCTACAATCCTAATTGTTAGAGCACTATGGCCAGGCTGTAGAGCCAGTAGATGCGTTTAATATTTCTTATGTAAAAATTGTTTTCCAGAGTCTGGTAGATAAACCAGTGGAAGATAAAGCTTGAATACTGTTCAAAAATTTTGTGGCTTTCATATGACCTACAAAAAGTTCTTCCTCCTTGGGATGTGTGGAAATTTAGCATTTTTCTCAGCTGAAAATTGCTTTGCTTTTGATGTTGCAATATTTAGACACTTCACACATGTTAATAGTAGTTGCGTATCAGAGTTGATTTGAGTCATGAGGCAGAGTGGGTGAAATGAAGTAATTATCTGTTCTTTGCTATGAGTAATCTGAACTAAAACCGTATGAAATCTGAACATGTCAAAATAACGTTGCTTTATTAAAGGATTACAGTATTACGAGAGTAATCTAATATATTAAAAACCCTACTTTCAGTTATATACAACACATGCTACGTGACACGTCAGTTTAATGCACATCATATTGTAAAGAAGTGATGAGGTAATAAAGGGAAAAGTGTGCGAGCACACGCACGCAAACGCACAGTAAATATCTTACAGGCTTACTGAAAAATATATTGAAATTCTAGAGGCTTCTGCTCTCCCTCTTCTACGCATTCTTTAACTTATACTTTTCGTAGTAGTTGCTGTTTTGAAGTGGGTGTTATAACAATCTGTTCTAGAAACCTACCTCAGAAGAATATTAGAATTATCCCAGTCAGTATTTCATAGTTGTGACTGACCTCTAAACATAGATGAGTAAATCTATTTAATAATTTTACAGTAATATGGTATAATTGTGAAATATGGTAAATATAACTTCTCTTGGCTACAGGTAACTTCTTTATATAATTTTCATCTACTGGATAAGGATATTAAATAGCTTATATAGTGGTATCCATCATTTGCCTGCAAAGTTGGATAGTCCCTTTAATTTTTATCCAGCCATTTCTGATATGGAGGCTACACAGCATGTTACGACTGGAGTCAGGTACAAAATACTGTGACAATTGTTGTGTAGTATAACATGTTGGCTATACAGCACATTATATCTGTGGTAAATCTGGATTAATTTCCATATGCAGGTAGCTACTTAATTTTGGTAAGAAAAATCATTAGTGTTTCTAATCTAAATTATTTGAATCAAATGTGAATTCTGATTTATAGGAGCAGATTATTAAAATGCTCAAAGTGAAGAGGAAAGACTGGATTTATCACGACAATAATGGTTTGAGTATCTGCTCTCAAAATCAAATTACATAGTACTAACTTTATTCATTGCAGTTAACAAAGATTAAATTAGAATAATCACACTAATGTACATATACCAGCTACACAGTTCAAAGGATATGCTTTCCTGTGTCAAATGATTGATCATAATAATAATAATAATAAAAACCTCTTGCTGTACAGTTTGTAGTATTTCCTGTATTTGATAATATTTATACATAATGTAACATAAAAAATATTTAAATGTTGTGGCAGTGTTTTTGCCATCCAAATTTAATTTACAGGGAATAAAACCCAGAAGTTTATCTACAGTCCATCTAAACTGCCAGTTGTAAAAGGCTTAATATAACTACTTCTAGTACTAAGAGGTGTTCTGAATGTTATGTCATTTCAGTTCCTTTTTTCCTTCAGCTCTTTTTTTTCATGGAATGATTCTTGGAAATATAATATACAAGCCCTCACATCTTAGCAATAAATGTACAATATGTTACATTCCTCATTTCTGAAAAGATAATTTCATATAACGATATTATAGTTTTACATGTTTTTTTCAGAACAAGAAAACAAACCAAGAGAAGAATTGTTTCAGTGGAATGTGTTGGGGTTAGGTCTTATCATCATAACAACTTTCTTTAGTGAATATGATCCTCCCCGGAATTCAGCCCAGTAAACACCATCCTGGTACCGACTGCGGTAGTGTCCTCCACGGTACCAAACTCCATTGAGATTTGAATGAGCACATGCATTGTACCACCATCCTCCTTTCTGGTAGTGAGCACAATTACCTGTAAGAGAAAATTCCTATTCAGTCTTAGGAGCAAATGAAGAATCTTACAGCAAGCAAGCCAAGTACAAAACTTTTTTTTTTTTAAACTACGTGTTTAACATGTAGATACCATGTGGTACAAGGTGAATTTAGGCTTTTTCAGGAGCCAGCTCTGTAGTTAGGTTCTTAGATAGGCTCATTTAGTGTTACTCTCCCTTGCTGGATTATTTGTTAGCATATTTTACAGACCTTTGTTTAGTATAAATGATAAATATTTCAATGAGAATTTTTGTTTCAGTGTTAGTATGTATAAGGGTTGACACATCAGTTTTTGCTTCATAAATTACTAATTGACAAATCTGAAAATGCTTTGTTTTGTTTGGGGTTTTTTTTGGTGTGTATCACCATAAGTACTTTTCTTTTTTTTAAAAAAAAAGGGAGGAATAAAAGCCAGGGCGGGGTGGGGGGGGGCGGGAACGACACGGATGGGGCTGTGAAGCAAGGCAACTGAAAGGGACTTTGTACCTGTGTATACATCATGGTCCCGATCCAGTGTGGTGAACTGTTTACCATTGTGCCAAGTGAAAGAATCTCCTGCATTGCCATTGTAGCGTCCTAATCTCAACTTGTAATATTCGCTTTCTGGCTCCAGTCTGAAGCTAGCATACTCAGCAAATACTTTTCGACCTGACCAGTCTTCCATTGTTATGAGCAGTTTGTAGTTGCCTTGATTTGTTAACCAATAAATATTTTCTAATCCGAGCCAATATTCTCCATCTATGTTACCAAATCCTTGCTGTAAAGGAAGCAGGAGAAGCATGTTAATATTGTGCATCTGTTTTAGTGGTAAATCTGAGTGTATTCTTAAGTAGAAAACCACAGTAACTTATTTTATAGAGACTGCCTTCTGGAAGGGTAACACAGAAGTTCCTTTTCAAGTAAGCTCTTGGCCAGACTCTAAAATCACCCTTTAAATTAACTTTACAAATGATTTTTAGAGCATAGAAAACATTAAACTGCTCACTTGTCCTAACCTTGTATGTCTCCCAGTTCCTGAAAAAGTTGACAGACCCATCCAGCCGTCTCTGAATGACTGTCCAGCCACCAGGGTCATGCCGTTGATCACACCAGACCTGCATAAGCCGATTTGTGTTTTCTGGTTTTACAAGATAGATGGAGCTTGTATCATGGCCATCTTCTAATGCTTGTAGACAGTCTCTCCAGGGCCCTGTGTCAAAACAGAAGGACTCTGCATCAAAATGCAGTTGAGCATATTTTTAATGCAGAGCGGTATTTGAATTGGTAGCTTTTAACAGTAGATTTGTTTCTGCTCAGTAGTGCATTTGTCTTTCCTCTTATTGAATGTACAGTGTCTACTAAGTGTTTTCAAGCAGGATTTGTTTGTTGTAACTTTATTTCTGGAATATTTTGCAATGAATACTGACAAAGGTAAATTTTAAAATAAATTTATTTAAGGCAACTGCACTTATTGATTATATCTTCAAAGAAACAAAACATGAATGACTCAATAGATATATTGGTATTAATATATTTCCTTTAGAAAACAAAATGGTAAGTTTGACTTTCTGTCTGTCTCTGAGAAATTCATCTTAGATCCTAAAAAATGTAATTGGCACAGACATTAACAATGGAACTGGCAATATAAATTAAGAAATCTATGTGTTACTGTTGTCACCCTAACAAATGATAAGACAAAATAGAAATTGAGATTTGTAACATGGAGTGCCCACTCCATGGGTGGGTGAGTGAAATTGTAGATAAATGCGAAGACTTTTAAAATGGTTTGCATTCACAGAAATTAAAAATAATTACAGCTCTCCTATTTTCAGAAAGAGAATGCATTTTTTTTTCTTTGAGTTTAGCAGAGTCCATAAAGAGCTTACTCTTTTTGAAAGTATCTTACATTCATGATTTTTGAAGAAATTTTTCTCCAGTGGGAAGATAGATAGATTCCATTTTAATGAGGCTGATAAACTTAGATATAAATTATTAGGAGTCTGTGATGATATCTGCAGATAAGACTCCCCCAGCTGCTTTGCTGCTAATCCTCATGTTGCCGAAGTGGAGTGAAGCCAACAAGAATGCTCAGGATTAGAGACCTTTGACTGATTTCCCTCCTGCCCCACCCCAAAGAGGAAGGCTTGTCATATCTTCTCGTGAGGAGTTTTATTGAAGCATATGTTGCTATCAAGAGTACTTTCTCTTTTAAATTGTTTCAGTTCATCTACCCTTTTTCATAATTCTCTGTCCAACACTGGTAATTGGTAGAGCTACCCTTGTACCCAGTAAATGAGTTAGCAATAAATTAGGTTTATAGAACCAACCTCAGCGTTTTGAGGGGTTGGCATTGTTTTGGTCTTTTTTAACTAGTTAACCAAAAGTGATTGTACCAGGAGGCAATCTTAGTTTTTGGCCTACACTGTGGTGTTCTTGTTTCCTTAGTCATAATCACAGACTGTACCTAGAGTGCTGCCTATAAGCCCTTTCTCTGTTTATTTATGTGAGGCTCTTTGACTCTGTAGCAGCTTAATTTCAGTGCTTTCTGTAAATACATATGGACTGTATATCAACCAGAACTCTATCTGCATAGGCACTGAGCCCTTCACAGATCTCTAAGGGTGATACAAAATTGATATTACAAAGGCCAACTTGATTCTTATTCAAGGTGATTAGATGATAATATGTGATTCAGATTTATTTACTGCTTGTTCTACTGTTCTTAGCGCATTTCCATCAATTAGTGGAATTTTTTTTTCCCAATGTCACATTTGCCACCTTCCATTCCTTACATACTAAAGCAATTTTTGGTGAGAGATTACACAGTAGTTAACTGTTTCGTATTCAGTTTCCTTTAGAACTCTTGGGGAATGTGCTTTACTCTTTGCAGTTTGTTAGTATTCACTTCTTTCATTGGCTTTATAACCTCTTCTACCGACATTTCAGTTTGAGATAAATCCTGCAGAGTATCCTCCTTGCCACTAACTTAGTTAACACAAGAACCTCAAAGTGTCCCCTCAGTGAATACTCATGTCAAAATTAATTTAGATTTTCTGTTGCCTTAATTTTTCCAAGTACATATTTTTATCTTTCCCGATAAACTTTTTAGTCAGGCTTCCTGTTCCTGATGTGTTTGAAATCACATTTATTATGCCTTTTTTTCCTTTTGCAAGTCGTTCTTAACATTTTAATGTGTATTTAAACCTGGCAGAAAGTATGTTCTTTTCTTATTTCCTCATTTGGACATGACCTTAGTGCTTTGAATGATGTCATCTGTCTTACAATACTGCTCTTTTACCAAGCTGCTTAACCATGACAAGATTTCCTGGTCCTCTCAAAGTCTTTTTTTTTTTTTTTTTGATGGATGGTTCTGAATTTCCAATAGGGTGTCTTTAGATAGTCTCTACAGTGCTTGAAAACATTCTACCTTTTCAGTTAACACTGAAACACTTCTAGTTTGTATGTTGGTGTTAGAATATTCTGTTCTTTTGTGTCATTTGTGTCTCCAAGTTTCTGGTAAACTGTTACATCAACTCTTGCTAAAACTCCAACTTTCTAGTTCTTCTATCTTTTTTCATGTTTCGTTTGGTTTTTTTTTTTAAGTGGTAGTAATTGTTTAGAAGCATATATATATGTGTTTGGCTTGGCCTCGCATATATATATAGGCCTAATGTTTCTGTGCCCTGTTTAAACAATCTGTTTTTCAGATTATATTTCAGCATTTCTTACTTGAATTTTGTCCACTGCTCCTATCTAAAGATTTTACTTGATGGTACAAAAACTGCATTGCTTCACCTAAAGGATGTGTCAGTTTGAACAATCTGATTCATTAAACCATAATTATCAGTATGAATATATGTTGTCTGTCATGTTATTATGTATGTTTATTTTTGTATACAACTAAAGCCTTTTTTGAAAAAGTGTGTGACCACATAAAATTAGCATATACTATGTTAATATTGCATTAACCTTAGCATTACTGTTTGCTGTTTATTATTTAACTATTCAACTGTGTTTTTTATAATGCAGCATGGGGTTAAAATATTTACCAGCAAGTTTTATCTGGTAGAGTATAAAAAACTGGTTTGTGTGCATGTTTTTCTAGGAATAATGTCTTCTATAGCAATTGCACAAGAAAACCTACATTTCATAAATGGTATAACTAGCTACTAAATGTTTTGTTCCTAGAAAAATATTTGTTGATTTGTTGGATAAGGATGATGAATCATATTAATTCAGTTTTCATGTTCAGCTTTCATTTGTCTTGAGTCTAGTCATCTTCCAACGTTGCACTGGCAAATTTATACAAAGCAGAATATTTTGATAAGGTATTCATGTAAGTCTGTTTTGTACAGAAGATGTAGCAGTGTTTTACCTAATAGTGTTTGTCCTGTTGTGTGCAGAATTCTATGCTCTAATAAATTGTTGTTTCTGATCTGCTTGAATTATTGACCCTGTGGACTAAACTTTTTGATGTTATAAACTAAATCCCATTGTAGATAAACCACATCTGCTTTTTCCATTGGCATATTAAAGCTTGTAGTTGTTAAGCATTAATGTATGCAAAGTTGTTGGAGTTTGGTGTGTCATGGCCCGACATCCCACCCCATCCCTTACCCTTTCTTGGGTAATAACTCCAAGAAAGGAGGAGTTGTTAGTGTCACAGATAAACCATTTCATCCTGAAGTCTTTTATTAGGCTTTTAGCTCTTTCAAGCAAGTCTAAGGAGCAATGCTCCTAAATAGGACTGTAGAAATTTTACTTGGAATTCATATTTTGCTTAGTAAAGTGGAGTAAAATACAATTATAGTTATTTTGAACAGCAATTGTGTACACTTTCTCAATAGCATATGTGCCGCTGTTGGGAGAAAAGATCTGTTCTTTTACTAGATCCGTCCTGTAATTAGTGTTTTTGTAATAATAAGGTGTAAATCTTCCTTCTGAAGCATTAGCATGCTTCACCAACAAGGGTCATCTTATCTTCCCTTGAAAAAGTGAGAGCATCCTGTCTTTCGGATAGGTAGTTTTGATAAAATCACCTCTAGGGAGTCAAGCAGACCTTTGAGGAGTAGTACCTTTGTAATCTGAACAATGCCTGTTCACTGGCACAAACACATCAAAAATACTTTTGTAGTACTGGATGTATAGGATGGAGGCACAGCTCTGTAATGAAGAGACCACACATTTATGTCGCATAAAGAGCAGAATAGGTTTTGATAACTGATTGAGAGAGGTGTATTGTATTGCTTTGGACTTGCACCCATCTGTGCCAAGTTGAAGATTGCAAAATAAGTTTTTAAAATTGTGTCTGTAATTTTGCTAACCCAAACCACATGATTACTCTTCCCAACCCTGTTTCTTTGTCTTGTATCTCCTTAATTTCTGTCTTCCACAGCCATTAATTCCGTTTGGATTCTTAAAAAACTTTTCTAACCATATTTTATTTCTTGACATTAACCTCAACAATTAAGTTGTACTAAAAATACTGTCTCAATTTTTTTTTTTAACATGTAATTAAAAAAAAAGGGAAGGGAAAGGGTCTGGGATTATGATAGAATAATAGAATCTTTGGGTTGGAAGAGACCTTTGAAGGCCATCTAGTCCAACCCCCCTGCACTGAGCAGTGACATCTTCAACTCGATCAAGTTGCTCAGAGCCCCGTCCAACCTGACCTGGGATGTTTCCAGGGATGGGGCATCGACCACCTCTCTGGGCAACCTGTTCCAGTGTTTCACTACCCTCATTGTGAAAAATTTCTTCCTTATATCTAGTCTAAATCTACCCTCTTTTAGTTTAAAACTATTATCCCTTGACCTTTCACAGGTCCTGCTAAAAAGTCTGTCCCCGTCTTTCTTACAGGCTCCCTTTAAGTCCTGGCCGGCTGCAATAAGGTCTCCCCAGAGCCTTCTCTGCTCCAGGCTGAACCCCCCCAGCTCTCCCAGCCTGTCCTCACAGCAGAGCTGTTCCATCCCTCTGATTGTTTTTGTGGCCTCCTCTGGCCCCACTCCAACAGGTCCATGTAATCGCTCTTATGAATTAGAGATTCACCTAATTTTGCTTTGCACTGGTATTTTCACACTGCATTATGTTTTACAGAAACGAGACGTCATTATTTCACAAGCTCTTACATTTGATGAGATTCAGTAATCGTACATAGTGCTTCATGGGGAACTGGAAGTTTGGCTCCAAGTCGCTTTTAATTAATTTAAAATCATTAACGCAAATAAAAGGGAAATATAAGATTTGTTTTTAAAAAGTGAAGTAACTTAGGTCTCACTTTCTACACAGATTATGTGCATAATTAACTTAAATGTTTTTTGGTTTTTTGACACTTGTTGCCTACCTCTGACAGTGATTTACCATCTTCCAAATATCTGCTTGGAGAAGAATACAGCAGATAAAAAATATATAGCAAGTTTTTGGAATTTGTTAAGGATAGGTTTTTCATAGATACCTAAAATGGAGAAAGCCAAAAACCACAGGATATATTGTGTTTGAACCTAGTAAGTATGGAAGAACTGACTGAAAATGTGAAATGGAAAGCAGTGGAGGCGATCTTGATCGTGAAATAATGGAGGCCACAATTCTTAAGAAAAGAAAGTGGAAAGCAAAATAAAGACAATGAACTTCAATATAATGGACTTCAGCAAATTCAGAGAGCATGCAAAGAAATGCTTTAGACAATTAGTCCAAGCAAAGAGTTTAGAAGTTAAGGAGTCTCTGAGGACGCTGCAATGGATTTTGCTGTTGTAGAAGATGGATAGGGAAAATGATAAGAAACTGACCTGGCTAAATCATGACCTTTCCTGTAGCTTTAAAACATGAAGAAAGCTCATACAAAGTAGATGCTAGCTCAAAGTATTAGGCATGGCTGGTTGTTTCTGGGGTGTGTTTGTTTTTATCAAAACAGTAACCACCACCACCCCTCCAACCCAACAGCGTGGACAAAATGTACAAAATCAAATAAAGCTACTGACAGTAGTAAGAATCTCTAGGTCTCAGTAAGTGTAGGATCAAGGGAAAATATTGATCTGCTACTTTGTGAGGAAGGAGAGCTGTTGACAGATTAAACTGACAAGGCATTTAATATTTTTTCTTCCATTTTGCTTCAGTTTTCATTGCACAGGATCAGATGGTTAGTACAGCCAGGAGCTTTGGCAAAGGTTGAGAACTGAAGGATTGGATAAAATATAGGTGATTTTTTTTTTTTTTTTCCTAGTGTCTGGGCAGTTTTGGTGGGTTTTGTTTGTTTTGTGGGGTGTTGGTTGTGGGTATGGGGGGTGGGGGTGTATTTTTGTGGGTTTTTCCTAGTTCATTCCAGACACATTGCTGAAGCATGATTTATGGCATTGATTGTGGGGAGGGATTTAGTTTGAGATGTGCTTTGTGAGTGGAGAACATTTTGGAGGATGAGGAAAAGGTATTAAGTGTTCCTTGCCCAAAAAGAAAGGTGGGGAGAGGGGAGGAGGATACCCTGGAAAGGAAAGGTTAAATAGCTTAACTTCAGTTGCCAGAAACTTGCTTGAACAAATCAAACTGCTGCAAACAAGAAAATAAGGAGAGGAATTAATATTATAATGGATTTGTGCAGAAGAAATATGAAACTTCTTTTTCTGGTAAGTTATGTAGATAAGAGAGAAGTAGCAGATGTCAAATCTGATCTTAGAATCATGGACTTTGGAAGGGACCTTTGGAGATCAAAATGAAAAATAGCTGTATAAGCATTATTTCCTCAGGTGAGGATCTAGGGCTTCTACAGGGTTGCAAGTTGGTCATGAGTCAATGTTTTTCTTTGCAAAAAAAGAAAACGTATGAGGATAGATCAACAAAAGTACTATGCACATGAAGTAACTTTTCTATTCTACTGTGTGATCGTAAAGCCTTAGCTCCAGTTTGGGTACTTGCAAGCACAAGGAGGATGTTGACCAATTACTGAGTTTTCAGAAGAGTGTAACAGGAAGGGGAAAGGTCTTAAAGGAATGCTTGAAAGATATTTCACTTACAGAAAGATAGGGAAATACCGTATGAAGCTTGAACCAATTTTGAGTTCAAAGTCAAAATGTAATTATTAAAGAGGTCGCCCTGTAGTTAGTGTATTGCTTTAAAGAAATTGTAATAGACCTGATTTTCTCCTGATTTTTTTTTTTTTTTTTTTTTTTTAACCTAGAACATTAGAGTCATGGTATTTTTGACTGAGGTTCTCCATGCCACAATGCAAGCTTTGGTGAGTTCATCTCTGGCAATACTGTGAAGTAACTGCTTTGTAGCAAAGTGTTAGAGATGGAGACTGTGTTTTAGAGAAACATCTCTTAAGTTTCTTTCATTGTGGATATTTCCATGGAGAAAGAAGTTGTGGGGTTTTTTGGTTTTGTTTTTTTAAAATGTGGCAGTTGCATTATTTGATAATTCTAAAGAGTTTGACGATGTCATTTGGAATATGTTGCAAATAGCCTTGAAATGCTATTGCACTTGAGTGCAGGTCATGTGCCTTACTGTGTTTAATCTTCATTTCAGATGTCTCTGGGTCCCCTGTCTTTTTTTCTGAAGCAAGTACACGTTGCCCACACACTGAAGGACAGATTTCTCTTGTATGGGACTCATAATACTTGAACTATTTTTTGAACTATGTGGGACCATAGGTGAAACTGGATTCTTTACCTGTTATTTCTTTATCATGTAGATCAATTGATCTCTAATGCAATTTCAGATGCCTCTAATCTTGCTTATGGCAGAACTCCTAAGACTCTTAATGAGGGCTGTGTAATATCCGCTATTATTCCACCACTTGCTTCCCTTTGCTCCTGTCTTAGAGCACAAGTGCCCTGTGTGAGGTACAGAGCAGATACATAATTCATTTTTAAGTTGCACAGCACAAAAATTACCATATGCTAGATCACCAAACTTGTAATAACTTCATAAATGTTTACACAAAAAGTGTCAAACCCCATCAGATGTCCTGGAGACCTCAGCACAGGGAAGACATAAACCTGTTGGAGAGGGTCCATAGGAGGCCACAAAAACAATCAGAGGGATGGAACACTTCTTCTATGAGGAGTGGTTGAGAGAGTTGGGGTTGTTCAGCCTGGAGAAGAGAAAGCTCCGGGGAGACCTTATTGCAGCCTTCCAGTGCTTGAAAGGGGCTTATAAGAAAGACGGGGACAGACATTTTAGCAGGGCCTGTTGCGATAGGACAAGGGGTAATGGTTTTAAACTGAAAGAGGATAGACTTAGACTAGGTATAAGGAAGAATTTTTTTATGGTGAGGGTGGTGAAACACTGGAACAGGTTGCCCAGAGAGGTGGTCGACACCTCATCCCTGGAAACACTCCAGATCAGGTTCGATGAGGCTCTGTGCAACCTGATCGAGTTGAAGATGTCCCTGCTCACTGCATGGGGGTTGGACTAGATGACCTTTGAAGGTCCTTTCCAACCCAAAGATTCTATGAATTCTAGCAGTTTGGTCTTGGGCACAGGTAAATAAATTTTAGATGATTGACTGTTGATTAGTAAGATTTTTCTGCAGCTCCTTTATCTCATAGATCTCCTATAAACGGTGGGTTTGTCTTGGCAAAGTAACATGAGAAAAATCTGTGGGGCTAGTGTGTCTGAATCTGCTAGACATTCAGAATTTTTTTTTTTTGCTTTCTTTCTGTGCTTGTACTACAACACGTATATTAAAAATACACAAGATAGATACACAGACAACGTCAGATCTAAGAAATTTCAATTAGTTCAAAATAATTAATTTGGATTTATTTTGCTGAATAAATAATTCTGTCTGCATATTCGATACTACAATTAAAACATTGCCCGCTGCATATTAGTATAAACTAATGTAGACATATCAATAATACTACTTACCAGATGGTTTATCAGTTGAAGTCGGAATACTAGTAACTGCAGGCATGGTTGGTAAGGTAGGTGGCAGAATCTTTAAGTTCTGATCACTCTGAATCTCATTAGTAGATATCTGGTTAATAATGCGATTGTAAGTAGGAGGCTGGTACACTTTATTTGGTGGCTGTGGAGTTTGTGGCAGTGGCTTTATAGATGGCATTCTTTGACAGTGTTCTTCCAGTTGGGCAATTATTATTGACTGATTATTGGCAATTGACATCAAATGTTGGTACTTGTGCTCTAAGTCTTTGTATTTGTTTGCAAGCTGCAACATATCTGCAGTTTGGTTCAAAATCTTATTCTCAAGTTGAGAAAGTTCTAAGGCATTGTCACGTTTTCGGATAATTTCATGTAGTAACTGCATATAGAGTTGTGTGACACGAGAATTCATATTTCTGCTCTCTTTTCTTAAGAGTTTAACCTCATTAACAATCCCACCGTCCACCTCTACCAGTTGCTGGAGAGTTTCTATTTGTCTCTTTTGTTTAAGTAGTTCACTGTTAAGTAACTGTAATTCTTGTTTATTTACCCTGTTTTCAAGTAGAACTTCAGGTTCCTTAGAATTAACACAAATGGCACCTGTCACTCTCTGTTGAGGTACAATAAAAGTGTAAGTGCATCTGTCCTGTGTGTCACTGGAACGCTTATATCTGTTCATATAAATGAATTCTTGTTCTGTATCCTCATCATTGCCTTCAAATTCCTGTGCTTTGCTTGCAGTAGCTCCCACAACAGCTGTTAGCATTAAACAGATGAATGTTGTTGTCATCATGATACTCTAGTGCTGGTCAAATATTCTTCCGCAAAGAACTTTTAAAAATCTGTTTTAAAATAAATTTAACAGTAAGTAACAAATAGGAAATCAATGCAAATTTAAAACCGATAATCTGTTCTAAAACTTACAAAATATTACATAGTAACTAGTATGTCTATGTACAAATGAGCTATTTTTCTTGTCTGGTGTGAACTTACATTGGCTAAAGGGGACATCGTGGGGAATAGTTGTATCGTTCTATGGCCAGAACTGTAGTTGCTAGTTTTATCTAAAGCCTGTCAGGAACCACAAGAAACTAAGTAATAAATACTAGGATTTGAAGAGTCCTTTCTCCCAGGCAAGTACTACAAAAGCTTCCAAGATTGGTGTTTTCATTTAAATATTAATCACGTTTTCATTTCTTACGGTTAGACATAGAACTTTTAAATGTAAACAGAATGTAAGTTAATATGTGCTGCTACAAGTTCTAAAAATATCAAACAGCTCATTTGCAGTATTTTATAACTGCATGTGTATTGCAGGAGATATAGCTTAGATGAAATGTAACAATTTTAATTTAGTCTTTAAGAATTATAAATTAAAAACTCTAGTTCCCAATATGATAGGCAGTAAAACCTGTTGTTCTTCCAGACTAATAAAGTTTACAACTAAAATATTTATTGTGATTCTCACTGGAGACATTGTCTTTTACACTCAGCCTTGTCATTCCACTGCATAGTCTCTTCTTGGAAGGGGTAAAACACATGCATATGTGCATGGTGGACAAAGATGACCCCCAACTATTAAAATTGGCTACTAGTGTTTATTGACATACTGCAGCAGTACCCTTTTGGTGAAATTACACTAAATTAGTTCTCAGAGCAGATTCATATTCAAGGTGGACATTTGAGGCCATCACAATCTCTTAAAAAATAAGTCAAAACCAGAACTTTATAGGCAAGTCATCTTGGAAACATGAGCTTAGCATTGTCACTACTGAAAGTCACAAACCACTCTTATCAGCTGCTTGAACACCACTTTGATATTGTGTATTTCTAACAGCTTTTTGTTGTTGAATTTTAATAGGCATGTGTATATATAACCTAGATTTCTTAAAATAAATACAATGGGAGGAAAGAATATAGTATGGAGCTTTTTCAGTCTATAAAGCCTGCTTGATACTTTTTAAAACCAAGGTGGAATTACCATCATATTTTTCTTTACTCGTAAAACTTTTCACATGGAATAACCATTCAGTGTTTAAGTAACTGTCACCTCACTGCTTGGTCGCCATTAGTGCAACGAAATTTTTTTCAATTACATGAAATGATGATAGTAACAACTGTGAGAAACTGGAATGAGTGCAGCTGAGTGCAACTAACATGGAGAGCCAGAGGCTGGCAGACATGATGTATGAGGAGCAGCAGAAAGAACTAGGTTTCTTTAGCCTCCAGAAGAAAAGGTGAAGGAGACATCTTACTGCTGTCTTCAACTACTTAATGGGGTTTTTGTAGAGAAGACGGATTCTTGGAAGTGCACAGTGAAAGAAAGTATAATGGTCAATGGATACAAATTGCCTCAGGAAAAATTCATTTTGGGTTTTAGAAAAAAAGAATTTCTTAATGAGGGTGACCAAGGACTGAAGCAGCCACCCAAAGAGGTAGTGGAATCTCCATTCCTGGAAGTACAGAAAGTTTTGATTTAGGCAAAGCTCTGAGCAGTCTGATCTAATGTTGAAATTAACCTTGCTTTGTAAGAAGAGGGTGGGGTCCCATCCAATCTGAATTCTTCTATGATTCTAGGTAGCTGCTGACTTTTAAGAAATTTTTTTAGACTTTCAGAATAATCATGCATATGCATGCTTAAATAATTATTCATAGTGAGAAGAGATACAGTTGTCAGTCACATTTTTCTGTTGGTTTGAAATAAACCATAGAAGTGTCTGTAAATGCTTCTGTAAATTATTCAAACAGAAGTGACCAGGACTTAATCCTTCTTTCAGTTTTTGGATACATATTTTTGCCTCAGTCTCTTATTTGGAATAAACTCATTTTGATTTTGCAAATGGAAAGGAATTGTGCTGTACAGAACTTGCCAAGAATCTTGAAAACTTGTCAGATAAAAGTTTTGAGTTTGACATGGTTTCTGTGAGGAAAGGAATGTTACTTGCAGCCCTGAAAAACAGGGAACATAAATTCACCCCAGACAGCTTTAACTTGCATGATCAGCATTTGCACAGCAGGTCACATTTGGAAACTCTGGCAGTTTTCCAGGTGTCACATTTCTGCACAGATGGACTGTTTTGGCAAATGTCTCTCACATATAGGTGTAAAATGGGTTTTATTTCACTGTTTGAATTGAAATATCTTCCCCCCCCCCAATAACTGTAATTATTGTGACCACTAAAAAGAAACTATTTTTTTCCTCAGAGTTCACTTGTGTCTTTGTTACAGCATCTCATGTCTTTAAATGAGCACATAATTTGGGATGCACATTCTTTTCCAGACTGAAGAAATAGAGAGCAACATATCACAGTTTGATTTTTCTCCTATTTTTTTAATAACTGTTTAAGAAAAAAATGAAACAGTTATCAGCCTCATCTCAACATATCAGTTGATATGTTGACATCTTTCAAAATAGACTAGACTGTTTCAGTTGGAAGGGACCTACAATGATCATCATCTCCAACTGCCTGACCAATTCAGGGCTGAGCAAGTTAAAGAATGCTATTAAAGGCATTGTCCAAATGCCTCTGAAACACTGACAGGGCATTGACTACCTCTCTAGGAAGCCTATTCCAGTGTTTGACCACTGTTTGCAGAAGGTAAGCCATCAGTGAATGGCATCAGCATGATTAGACTGTGCTGAAATGCTTCTGTCTCATGATCTTGCCTGCATGTCACCTTTTCTAAGGTGTTCTTCCTATAAGAAAAAACATTGGAAGGAAAAGAGCATTGGTAAGAGAAAGCTCCTTGACAAATAGAAACAAGAACCGTACTGTCTTCAGATGTCCTTCTTCTTGCAGAGTCTGTTTATGAAGGGATCTCTTAAGTCTTTTATTGCCTTCCTTACTTTTAACTTGTTCAGTTAAAAAAAAAAAAAGTTCAGAACAAGGCCTATTTGTTGCGTATTGTGATGGACTACATAACATAGAAAGCATTTCTTCCTTTCTGCAGTTGGATTCAAATGAAGTTCATAACCAACATGCTTGTTTGAACAACCCTCAATGATTAATCTTTCAGGGAGAAAAAAGCTTCATGTAGGATAGTGGGAAGGGAAACCAGAGAAACAATTTTAAGGAAGGATTTATTTAATGATTTTTAATATCTGCCTCTTCTTTTTTAGTAGGGGAACATCAGATTCTTAGGACATCAGAATTCCTTCCCGTGGGAGAGGAAGATCTTATTTATTTGATGTCTAGCACACTAGTTTTCAGTTTTCTTCTGTTGTACTTTTGCCAAATAATTGCTCATACTCTTTGTACTTAACTAGTGCCGTTGCTTGCTGATAACTCAGTTCTTCCTATTTCTCTGGCTCAACCCCCTCTTCCTCTCTCCCTCTCCCAGTAGCTCTTCTGGAGTAGTCTGGGAGGGAACAATGTTACTGGGGCCATATTTGTCCACAGTGCAAAATTCTGCTTGGTTAGCTGTAGATTTTTCAGCATCACCATTGCACAAAACTACATATAAACATAAAACACATACAAAAGCATGTGTGCAGGTTTGGCACAAATTTTCTTAATTACTAGAAATACAGTATGTCTGTCTTTTATCCTTGCGCACATTGACAAAACTTAAACAAACAAGCACACAAACAAAAACCAGAGGTGAAAGAAGCATGCTTAAAAAGAAAGATATGTGTCATTTTAATTAAATATGAAATAGAATTTCTAATTAGAAAAAGTATGGAAGTTTGAATTAATTTCATTTCTAGATTCTGGCTGTTCAAGACTTGTGTACTCTTTTAATGGGAGTTGAGTTGGGACAAAGTTGCCCTAGTGCAGATGCACCTAAAACCAATTTTGTGTATTTTTGCCCTACTTGGCAGTATACATTATTCAGGCAAAATAATTTTTTTTTCCTGTTTGTCTTTTACCAGTGTAACTGCATCTGTATGAAAACTTTTCTTGGCATTGTTGTGTGGTTTATAATCATAGTATTTTTCATACTCCTAGCCAGCATAAACACTTTGGTTAGGCCAACATTTGGTCTACAAACTGAAATTCTATGTATATAAATGGAAGTAGGTAATAATAATTCGGCTTGTTTGCTTATTCATTGTTTGACCAACTGAGGATGTTCCCATGATCTGGTAAAAAAAAAACTTTCTGAAAGGGATATGAGATGTTTCATCATTTGACTGTTTTTTCCTTTTCCTTAAAGGGAAAAAGGAAATAAAATCTTTCTTTGGCTTTGCTTTGAAATATTTTTCTGTCTTGTACACTGTCTTGCTTATATGGGACTTTTGGTTAGTCAAAATATTTTGTTATGAGTATCTTGAAATTTGTATGTGATATTTCAAAAAGGTTAAAGCATTTTACCATCTAAAATTATACAGGTGTTTCACATCCTATAGTTTAATCACTGTCATGATCCTGAAATGATAAAGGTAAAAATATCTCTATGTGCAAAGTATTACTGTTTGGCAAATGTTAACTTTTTTACATCAGCTTACCTTAAGAGGAAACATTAAAGGTAGCAGCATCAGCACTATGGCCTTTTTTTTCTTTTTTAGCTACTTATAACAAAAAACACATTTAATTGTGGCTATTCCAACATGTATACATTTTTTCTTTATTTATTGGTTCTGATGCTATGCTTCAGAGGATCTCATTTTTACAAAATAGACTGGTTAACTATTTCTTTCAGATTTTTGTGAAATATTTAACCTATTCTTGGGATTTTTGTGTACAAAAGAGAACAAAGGTATGTTTGCATCAGGTGAAAAGTATTACTTGTGATAACATAATAAAAGTATCATTAAGCTTATCTGAAAATACTACCAGTATCCTTTCAATGCTATGGCTGGTTTTTGTTGGATGACATTTGTTCATAATTTAGGCATTTG